TGTCATGGATGCAGTCACTCAACAGACCTTTCTCTCTGTACCAGTTCTAAATACCCAGGAAAAGGGACAATCGGCTGCAGCTGGAGGGAAAAGGTATTGCAGCAAGAAACATGACTGCTGTAAACTCCATGTGGGTTGGGGGCGGCAGGAAAGGAGAACCATGCAGTGATTCCCAGAGAGCAGGCCAGGCAGAAATGGCAATGTGTGCATTATACTCCATCTTACAGGTGAGGAAACTGGGCCTCAGACAGGTCAAGTTCATCACATCATACAGGGATTCAGTCAGCAGAATGGGTATTTGACATGTGACTATCTGATTCCCAGTATGTTTTCTCTGTGCTGTCCCAATGTTTCGCACAGTTTGGAACACACGCCAAAGATGGTATTTGAAATGATTTGGGGCATTACATAAATGGACATTTTACATTTAATGTATTAGAAAAATAATAACCACCGCATAAAACCCATAATATAGAATTTCATTTATAAAAAGATTGTAAATGGAAAAAAATGTGAGCCAATTAAAATATATATTAAGTAAATCATAGGGTAGGTGGTGTAGTACATATAGATATGATAACAATTGTGAAGATTGTTTGCAAAGGACTAAAGTTTGACAAATATTATTCTGCTACCAAGTCATTTTCCCCCCGAAGTCCAAGGATCTCATCACATTCTTTATTTCTCCTGTCTCATCTTCTGTCCTCAATAAAAACTAAGTGTAGGGACTCAGTTCTCATTTCTATTTCCGTTTCCAAAGCAAAACAATAGACATCCACTGAGAATCTGTTCTCTGTCCATCTGTCACATACAGCACATCCCAGCAGGACGTCCCTGTATGCAGACTCCATTCTTCATGGGAAGAGTTTGGTTCGTGTCACCAGCTGGGGCGCAGATACATCCCCTAATTTTTGCAAATAAATGAAGCATGAGATTCCCCATACTTCTCAGAAAGTCCATGGCTCCCTCTAAAGTCCCCAGAGTCAACCCTGACCGTCATCTTGTCCTCTCTGGGCTCTGTTCAGGACACTAGTCCAGTCCTTTCTGCTCTCATCCTCAGAGTGGGTGCCTTTCCTGGGGTCCTTACTCATCAGGAGATGTTGGCTGAGACTTCCCCTTTCAACCCCACAGGTTTCTTTAGCTTTTCATTTCTAAATGGGATGAGAGTTGAGGTGTTTTCCTCCAAGAAGCCTTCTGGCTCCTTCTGTAAGATGGCCACATCCACCCCAAATTCCAAAATGTTTAAAGGGGGTGCTAGTTCAACTCAATTAAAAATCCATTCACTGAAACCCAACTTCATAGTTGATAAATTTGCTGTAAATTTGCTGTAGGACTATTTTAGTAAATTATCAAGTCTCCTGATCAACCAATCACTGATTGTAACGAGTTGTCACTTTGTAACAGTTTGCAGGTGTGTGTGTGTGTGTGTGTGTGTGTGTGTGTGTGTGTGTGTG